ATTAAGCTCTCTTAATGTTTTAATATATTCCAGGGGCTATTTACACAACATACAAAAAGCAGGAGTCAAACAGTCTCTTCCATTACTTTTTTTCTATCTCATGACTGGCAATCCTGTGGCCCATGGAATTGTTTTACTTTGCTTGTGTTTCCTCTGCCTACAACATTCTAAACAGATACTGTGCCAGAGGGAGAATTGGCACTTTTCCAAAAAGAGGTACCCAATTTTGAAAGGGCTTTCCTCACTATCACAATGCTAATGTAAGGAGCTGTCCTCTTAGTGCAGTGCTGCAATGGGAAATACCCCCACTTCTGTGTTATTCTCTCTCTCTCTCTCTCTCTCTCTCTCTCTCTCTCTCTCTGTGTGTGTGTGTGTGTGCTTGCTTGCCTGATGCCTCTGCCTTTCTTTCAATTGCACCAAATTGGTCAATTAATCAGTTATTTATTACACATTTAGTCCACCCTTCCTTCCAAAACAAATGACCTTCACTTTGCTACTTAGTGCACATAGCAAAAATTTAGACTAGAGGAAGAACTATTAGAATTTTGATTCCCAATTCTGTAAGATACACCCATCTTTTCTTCATTTCCAGATTGACCTCTTACTCTTATTCTGGTGGCAGTGATTGCAGCCTATGTGGCCGTGGGGGAACGGGGGGGTGGGATCTTCACATGACTGGCAGTGGCACTAACAGCCTTGTCCAGTTGCAGGGGTCTTCTGGACACCCTGCCAAAAAAAATAATTCAAATCTGCCAATCATGGCCAGGCTACTGGGTGTGGTTTGTGGAGATTTGCCTGAGGGAGACAGTCTCCACTGTCACTGTAGCTTAAATTCCACTTGTGCTGAGGGTGTGCAGCACAGTCAACAATGGACATCCCATGCTCCCTGTATAATTTAGCATTGTATTTTCAGCCAGGGAAAAATTTGCCTGCAGACAAATTGGATGTGTCTGGAGGTTTTGCCAACCTCATAGCAACAGTTACAACTTTTGGCAATAAAAGCCATTGGGTTGGATCCTTAGTTGAAACTGGAACAAAATGCTTAGGGTACCTCAGTAAATGGGGGCTAGGCTGGTTCAGGATACATACCCAGTGCCTAGGCCAAAGTCTACTTACATCTGTAATCAAAAAAGTGGTGGCCATTGTAACCCCAAGCCATCAGACTAATCTACAATGGTTAGCTAAAATGTTAAAAATGAGTTATAAAATGTGACACCAGAGGGCGCTGTAGAGCAGTGATTCACCAGTTGGGTGGGGTATAAGTAACAAATTATTATTATCAATGGAAAATTGTATTGAGAGCTATATTACGTTTATAAAGCATTTTTACAGATCAGTGTAGATCCAGCCATTGTCCTGTCGCTACTGATACTCTCACACTGCGTGCCCCCAGTGATCCCAGGTTCACTGTGGCTGGGCTTGTAAAATAGATCTAGGAAATTTTTCTCTTTATTTCTCAAATTGCCTTGTCTCCAGAGCTTGGTGCTAAGCAAAAGTAATGAAGGGGCTCCCCAATACCCACAATATGCATTTCATATATCTAACCATAGAAAATAGTAGACCTGACTGACACATTTTTTTCCATTTTCAAAATTGGTTTGCTTTGATATTGTTTTACTTGTAAGCTGTTGAATTGGTTTGATCTATTTTCTTATCAATAAAAACCAGTGAGTGAATGGAGCATGGCATTCAGGATTCGATTAATATCATGCAAAAAAAGGATACTGAACAGTGAATGTGGTGTAGCTTCCTTCACAGGGAACTCCATCTGGGATAGGAATCAAGATGGAGATGCTGTGAATAAGGTCAAAAGAGATAGAAATGACTTCTACATTTTCATGTTTGCATTTTATCTATAAATGGCAGGAGGAAAGCCATCCACTGTAGGGACTGCCTGTTTCAAAATGAACGGATGTTTTATTGCACCTTGAAGAAGGAAAACCCCCAATAAACATGAACTCGAGAGCTGTTTCCATCTAAAAGCCACACTGCCACTACTCTTTAACACAAATTTGACATTACAACAAGAAAGCATGTAAGGTTTATGTTGGGTTATTCACTGTAACAGCCTGACCTACTATAAATGATAGAAACATAGTACCTTTGGAATCACATGTTGTAAGGAATGTTGCAGCACCATTCCGGTCACTGGTCACATAATTTATAGCATTCGCGTCCCATTTTAGTGTTTGTTGAGACAGAATTTACCTTCAGTGTAAGGTCACCAAATATATTAGAGACCTCCAGGGGAAAATATAACAAAATGTGACAGACAGGAGACAGGGAACTGTAAATAGAAAATCTGGTTGTGGTGGTTTTACTTTTGTTTGTTTTTTTGTTTTTTTGTTCTTGGAAGGGGGGGACAGATTACTTCAACAACATTTCACACATAAAGCTATAAAAATGTACAAAATGAAAAAGGGAGAAAAGCGTATCCAGGATACAATACTACCATATCATTTCCTTTCATTTAACAGTTAGGTTTGAAGAAGAAAAATAATCAGTCAGATTTTTCTAGTTATTTATACACTGCAGTGCAAATATGTCTCAGGAAGGAAGGTGGATTTCAAATGCATATCCACACACACACACACACCAAAATCCTTTTGTACTTCTGAGAGATTCATGAGAGTTGAAACATCAGTGAGTCTGGGGACATCTCAAAAACTAAGGTCACCTTCAGACAACCTGTTTATTGGGCATTCATTCTGATTTGTTATTGGACCTCTCCAAGCTGCATCAAGCAGTTCCCCACCCCACATACTTTCCAGTAGTCTTTCCAATCACTTTCCATACCACAAAAGGTCTGATTTCTTTTAACAAGGAGGTTTGCTGCACAAGAGCACCAAATCCACTGCAATTGCACAGTTTGAATTTGTCGTTGAATTCTACACGCAAAATAGCAACAGTTTGGAAGCACTTTAACATTATTATGGTATAAGCTCTTATGAACTGGTGTCTATTTCTCACTTGCATGAAGTGTTATCCTTAGTTGCCCTGCATATATACAAATGGGAATTAAGAAAAACATGAGGCTGATAGTCATGAAATACAGAACTATGTATACTTTAAGATAATGCAACTTAATCCAAAAACCCCAGGGGCACATTTAAGCTTTTGAGTGAACACAAAAGGATGCGTCAAAAGATGTGGTCTGTAACATACTGTGCTCTCATTCCTTTTCTTCTTTTTCCATAATTCCTTGAGAATATTGGTGGCAATTTAAGCAACCCCACTCCTAAGAATCGTAGGAACCATACTTTAGGCTGCTGGGAATTGTAGCCCTGTGAAGAGTAAACTACAGTTCTCAGGATTCTTGGGGTTTTGTGCTTTAAATGTGCTTTAAATGTATGATGTGTATGCAGACTACATTTTGATTTGTGTTCAAGAACCCCTCTATATGAATGTTTCTAGCTCATTTTTGTCAGTGGGTATAGGTAAGCTAGGATCCTAAATATTACAGTAGTGTAATTACCTTAAAAAAAAAAAAGCCTTGTGCCTTTATCCTGTGACTTCTCATACTAGAATAGAATTGTGTAGTAGTAATCATGGTTGCTATGCCAGCACAATGTTCATAACATATATTATTATGAAGTAACCTAGGTTGGTACAGATATGAAAGTTTACTTGGTGGCAATAGGACATCCTGTGTTAATATAACACAGGAACAGATGTCTGAGCTTGCGTGAACAGAGCAGTAAGTGAGTCATTCTACATTACTTTAAGGCATTCTGGATACTAGGAGATTATATTATCAGTGCAAAAAACCCCACCTGATATGTGGTGGTAAATAATGAGATTGCAAATGGTGGGGAGCGGAGAACAAGTGCCTTTTCCAGTTTGCTTCCATCTAGTGTTCATCTGATGTTATGTTGATGCAATCTCTTCTGCATGCTGACACAGCTACTGTACACACACCTTGAAGGCAAGTCCACAGAATATTATTTATGGTATTGAGAGCATCAGCATATTAATTGGGTCAGATCTCTAATATAAATAGCTGTGCTTGCCATCCTAAGCACTCTAGCCTGTTGAGTAAGTTTGAATTGAAATCAATGGCACTTCTAGGTAATATGTTTAGGATTGGGATAGCAGGGATTTACTGAAGCACTTCTCTTTTCTGAGGAAGTACATGGCTCATTTTAATGTATAACCTCCAGTAGAGCTCTCTGGTGCTGTTATGATTTCCGCCGTCAAGGACCACTCAAAATGTATGTCACAAAGAGTTTTAAGTTATTGCAGTGCCACTTGCTGCATTCCTGCCCCATTATAGCTTCCAAATAGCAGAAATGCTGGCCCAGCTTCAAAAACAGCACCACAGAACATGGCAACCTTTTTTTGGACAAATTTCTCCTTCTGTGAGAAGGGTTTAAAAGCCTCAGAAAACTCTTATTTCCCCTTACATCTGAACTGGGGATCAGAGTTATTTATCTTCAACAAGCCACAGTAGCTGGACAACTTTAAGCAATGGCTTGTTGTTGGCTTACAGAACATGGCCTGTTAGGAAGAAATTCAAAAAGTCAGGCCACTTACACACACACACACACACACACACACACACACACTTCAATTCAAAAGAAACAAAACAAAATAGCAATAATGATAAATAATCAAAATAATGACTAAGAATGCAATCTTGCACACACCCCATGTTGATGTCTGTGTGGATTTGGGAATGTGAGTAGTCTCCTCTGTGCCAGACTGTCACTGGAAAGGAACACCATTGGCTGGGAAGTGGTGGTGAGCTGTCCTGCAATGGAGGCCTCAGCTTGTCCAGCTGAGCAGAAAACTTCTTTTAGGACGTCTCCTGCAAGAATAACTTTGGGGGTCTCAGTAGCATGTGCTACAGTGCTATGCACTCCAGCTGTGGGCCATGCCGTATTTATTTGTAGAAATCTACCTTATACAAAAGTCAGGCCATTAGCTGCTCTAGCTCAGTATTGTCACTGGCAATGAGAAGCTCTTTAGTGTTTTAGGCCAGAGTCTTTTCCCATCCTACCTGGAGACACCAAGAATTGAATCTGGGACCTTTTGTGTACAAAGCATATTGCTCTACCACTGTGCTATGGCTCTTCCCTTGGGTCTAACAAGCCAGATCGCTCTTTGAATGTTACTATTGTCTGCATAGCTTGGACTTCATGAATTTTTTAAAAATAATTGTTTTGTTGTTATTGTTTTGACACTGAGTGGCAGTACTTTTTAGTGTTTGACAGCCAAATCTATTGCCATATGACAGTCCTCCTACTCCGTGAGGTGCTTTCTTTCTCCCTTCTGACAGTAAGAGCTTCCAAGATGACAGAAAAGGCTTATGCGTCTTTAAAAGGAAGAAGAAAGTAAAGTTGGGGGGTGGGGAGAATAAGGAACCTTCCTGTCAAAATAAAAGCATTCATTTAGGCTGCTTTTTTATTATAAATCACACCTGACTGTAGATGTGATGGCTTACATGGTAGAACGTTTCATTTATGCATGTCATTTGTGGAAAATGCTGTCACTTCATCGTCTATCAAGGTCTTCAATGCATGTCTCTAAATAAAACATTAAACAATGAAAAGCCTTAATAAGTTCATTCCTTTTGAGTGAATGCTATTTTAAAAATTATATTAAAGTATGTCTCAAAAAAAAGTATATACTAGAACATTTCAATTAACTTTCTAATCAAACATATTATCAACATGGAGTTGATAATACTTGGGATTGCTTTGTTTGTTTAGCAACTGAAAATGAATTTCTGGAAAAGTTTCCTTCTGCTGTGATCTTTTTTTAAAGAAAAGGTATGGGACTAGTAGCTTTCCATGTGACTTGAGTCTTCATTGCAATGAAACAGAGGCTCATACAAAAAAGAAGAGCACTTTTTACCCTATCAGTTCCATTGTTAATAGCCTGTCAAGAAAACCTTTTTAAAAGGACAGAAGATGAATGGTGTATATATGATCAAAAGAAATATCTAATTCTTATAAATAAATAGGTTGGTCCCTGGATGGCTTCACAGTTCAGAAAAGTTTTGCTATGAATATGCAATCTCTGGAGAATATGTCTATCAGTGTGTATTAGCAATGGCAAATAGTATACCTTCTAAGTACCAGTTGCTGTAGATTGATTTTGTTGCCTTTGTTGCCTTTGTGCTCTGCCTGTGAGCTTGCTGGAGACATCAGGTCATAAAATCATAGAATTGTAGAGTTGGAAGGGACCCCAAGGGTCATCTAGTCCAACCCCTTGCAAAGCAGGAATCACAACTAAAGCATCCAAGACAGATGGCCATCCAACCTCTACTTAAGTACCTCCAGTGACGGAGAGTGCACCACCTCTCATGGGAGTCTGTTCCAGTGTTGAACAGCTGTTACTGTAGTCTCCCTTCTTTTAACTTGAAGCTATTGGTTCAACTACTAGTGGAAACTGAATGCTGGCTGGAATTTTAATGAAATCCTGTAGCACAATCTGTGTTCTCTTTTGTGTGTATCAGAACGTGTCCTGTCCCCATAGATTGATCTGGGGAACCTCATATCTGAGGGCCAAATGTAGCTCTCCAGGCCTTTCTATTGCACGGGACTCTCACCATCCCTCAATGGCCCTGCTCCACACCTTCACTGGGAGCTTTGCCTGGCTAGAATGTGTATTCAAACTGTGATAGTGACTCTTGCTTGCCTAACAGAGGTTTGTGTGTTTGAATAGAAACCTCTGGTTTTTGTATGGCTAGAATTTTGCCTGTTGTACAAAGGCAAGAGGCACATCAATTTTTCCACTGACCTTTTCCTCTGGCGTGTCCTCTGGTCATACCCAAAACTGACAGGTCACCCCTAGAAGGTTCCCAGTTGTATTGCAGGGCCCTGCAGGAGTCCATTATTTCTCATTCTATGTAGCATCTATATGAAGCTGCTGGCAAAGGTTATTCAAGGATTTGGAGCAAGGTTTCACCAATTTGGAAATAATGTCCAGTTCTCCCCCCCCCCCCCATCCATCTGAATCTGGTATAGCTGTTGGGCCAAAACCTGAATCCTGACAGGATTGTGGGGGTGCTTCCTATGTTCCAGAATTGGGGATATGGCCTATGCACGAAGGGGTTGCAGCCCCTTTGAAGAAAAACGTGCATTGCCTGGATCCAGCAGTATCACTTGAGGTCCAGGTGGCAAAAATGGATAGGTGTGTCTGTTTCCAGCTACTGCTAGCGTAAGAGCGCCCATAATTTTTGGATGCCATTAGCCTGGCTACAGTGATTCATGTTGCCATAATTCCACATCTGGATTACTATAACATGCTCTACATGGGGTACAAGGGAGTTTGGAAGCTGCAGGTGGTGCGGAATGTGCCAGCTAAGTATTGAGTAGTGCAGGGGTTGCCAACCTTTTTGGATAGTGGGCAAATTTTGAATTTTGAGAAAGGGCTAGGGACTCCATTCACAAAATAGCTGCTGGGGGGAGCATAGCACAAAATGGGTGCCATTGGGAGCATGGAATAACAAAACAAAACAAAACAAAACAAAAACAGACACACACAAACACCAAGAAAACATATGCCATGGAATGTCAGCCATGCTCTACTGGTCCTCATCGTGGCAAACATACAATATTGCTTTTATACACACACTGATGCTGTTTCTGTTTCTGTCTACAGCAGCAGGAAGAATTCTTCAGTTCCAGGAAAAATGTACAAGGTGTCCACACCACACTCACTCTCACCTTACAGAAACCACTTAGAAGGTACCTGCACATTTTGCTCCACAACATTCTTTCAAAAAGGGCTAGAAATAAATAATAATAATAATAGTTCACAGACTGAATCAATTGTCTAGGGGCACTAAAGAAAAACATCAATAGTTGTCATGCCACCTGTAACCACATGGAATGGTGCATCAAAATGGAGTCATGCTACATTAGTATGATTTGTGCTGTCTGTTTGTATACTTGCTTATAAATCTCTAAATGATCTGGAGCCTGAATACTTAAATAAGCACATCTTGCAGCATCTGCCAGCCCAGCCTTTGAGATATGCAGGAAAAGCCCTTCTTGTGATCCCACCTATGAGTGCTGCCTGTTGAGCAAGGTCTGGCTATTTATGGTTCTCTGCCTATGAAACTCCCTGCCCTTGAATGTGCATCAAGTATTCTCTTTTCAGCATTTATTCACCCAGGCATTTTGGGTTTTCTGAGACCAAGCACTGGACTACTTGTCCTGTGCCTGCTCCTAACCTATTAAATGTAAGTTAGATTTTAATGTATTTTGAAATTTTTGTGATGCAATGAGAACATTGGGTGGGTTTTGTTTGTTTTTGTTATATATCCTGTAAACCACTCTGTAATTTTCAAATACAGCACAGTCTATAAATAAAATGGATGATATCATCATCATCATCATCATTACTGCCTTGAGCTGAAACTAGTTCCTCCTTCCTGCTCTACAGCTTCTTTCAAATATATCAATGTTTCATTTGGATTTATCCTTTCCTTTATTTCCTGCTGATACTTTTCCAAGTCTGGATGTTTTCTGCATATAAAAGCAACTAAGCTATAGAAATATGGTCCATGATTCCTTTCCAGAGGAATCATTCAGGTCTGCTCTTATGCCCTTGGTTTTTATCTGAATAATGAAATCCTGAAAAGTAGCTCATTTAGAAGTTTTGAATTAGTATAACAATATTTGTCAATATTTGTTTTAAAATAGTTCAAACCCATTTCTAAGGATTGTGCATATAGTAAGTAGTTCATAAGAATTCTCCCAGTGTACTATGAAAGAAATGATCCATCTTGTTTAGTAGATATCCTGTCACCTCCAATGACTGAACTCATGTACGACAGAGAAGGTCATAGCCTTTCTCAACCTACGGTGCATGTATATTATGTGCTTTCCAAAATTGCAGTGATTTATTCATGTAACATAACATTATGACTTAAAAACATAGGCTTATAAGTAGAAGTGATGGACTATTATTTTATTGCCACTAGCTAGGAATGCTGGAGGGAAGCCCAAGAAATGTACTTTGGTGTCGAGAAGTCATAGTCATGTTTAACACCTTTTTCCTGAACAATACTGTGTACATTTAAAGGTCTGACACAAGGGGAATAAACTCCAAGAACCACTTTTATCCTGGGATTTCTTCTGCCTAGTCATTGGGTTTTCCCAGAGCTATCAAATACAAATTACTAACTGCCAGGTCCCAATTTGGCCTATGAGATCATTCCTCACAAACCACGCCTGCCCCTCACCTGATGTCATATAGGATTCCAGGTGTGGAGTAGGTGAGGATGTGGCTACAAAGGAAAAACTGAGAGTCTAAAGTGAACTTCTTATTTTTTTTTGCAATTGGTGTTTATAAGTCAGCACCAATTAGCTGATTGGCACAGACAGGGAGACCCACAGGAATCAGCTGCAGCTGACGGATCTCTGTTTAGAAGTAGTTTGCATTGAGCCCACTTGATAAAACATGGGTATTTCCCCCTCTAGAGAGGAAAGAGGGTCAATTTCAGCAAGCAGATTCAATGCAAACCACTTTGTATAAATGAGCAAACTCCTTTGAAGACATCTTCCCACCGCCAGTCAACTGACTGGGGGTGGGATCATGCCTTCAAAGGGGACTGCTCCATTCCTGCTTTAGCAAGTGGATTCAATGCAAACTGCTTTGGGCTAATGGAGTAAGCCTTGAAAGTGCACTGTAACCACACATCTGCTTGTTGGCAGTTACAGCCATCCCCTTTGAGCTTTGACAGATGTCAATCCCCTGATGCCATTATGACATCAGGGGATTGACAGATGGCATCTCTGCTTATCTGTTAAAGTTGGCCTGCAGAGGGTGAGGGATTGAAGGATTCAGCCCACTGGCCAGATAGAGTTTCCCACCTCTCATGTAAATAATATGTAGCAATACACCTGTGAATTTTTTTTAAAAAAAAGAACTGTAAGGTGTAATATACCTGATGAACAGATTAGGGAATCACATTTCATTCCATCTGTTGTGCAGTTTTTAATTTGTGCAGCTGCGATGTGAAGGGTACATTTTTATTTTTTACGCCTTTGTAGCTGTAGTCGGTTTCTCAAAAAGGAAATTAACAGTGGCCTACCCTTCTAATCAGTGGTGGATTTTGC